TTCAGGGCTTGAAATACATCATTCCAAGTCTGTCTAGATTTTAGAGTTTGTGCTGAGAAATGAGATGTAATGCTGTTCAGCTTGCTTCTGTGACTTGACATTTTTCTCTTGAGGCTTTTAATTCTATCCTTGGGCTGGGGTTGTAGCTCAGCTGTAGTAGAGCTCTCACCTAGCAAGTGCAGGGCCCCGAGTTTGATCCTCAGCACCACATAAAAATAAGTAAGTGAAATAAAGGTATTGTATCCAATTGCAACTAAAAAATAAATATTTAAGAAGAAATTCTATACTTATTGTAATTAAAATGCCTAACATACAAAATGTGACATGGAGAGCTTCTTTTTTAATCTTGTCTATTTGGGGTTGTGAATGCCTTCTGAATCTGGATGTCTATCTTATTCTGAAGGTTTAGAAAAATTTCTGTTACTATTTACCTAAAGAGGCTTATCCATGCTGTTAGCTTGCATCCAACAATCCAATGATTCTTAAATTTGGTCTTTTAATATTCTACCAGAGTTCTTGTATATTCTGGTCATGGTTACTTATTTTCTTTTCATTAATATAATCTTGATGTTCAAGGCCAGCAACTATCTTCTATTTCTGAGATAAGATTCTGTCTTTAGCATGGTGTATTCTTAGACTTAAAACTGAACATTTTATTTTATTGTGACTTTAATAGCCAAGATTTTTGACTTGTTTTTCTCTCTCTCTTTCTCTCCCTCCCCCCTCTCTCAGAATTGAACCCAGAGATGCTTTACCAYTGAGCTATATGCTCAGCCCTTTTTATTTTTTATTTTGAGAAAGGGTCTCCATAAATTGCATAGGGCCTTGCTAAATTGCTGAGGCTGGCTTTGAACTTTTGATCCTCCTGTCTCAGCCTCCCAACTCACTGGGGTTATTGACATACACCACTACACCTGGCTATTTGTTTTTTTGTTTTTCCAGTTGTAGATAAATAAAATTAAGGTATTTTGTCCATTTTTATGTGATGATGAGGAATGAACCCAGTGCCTCACACATGTGAGGCAAGTGCAAATTTGAAGTAATTAAAGACTCAGCCTCATTAAATAGTCTGTGTGAAAAAAACATTTTAAAAGAATATTAAAATAGAAAAAAGACTGGGCTGGGGTTCAGTGGTATAACACTTGCTTAGCATGTATGAAGCACTGGGTTCGATTCTTAGCACCACATAAGTAAATTAAAGGTCCATCAACAATTAAAAAGTTTTTTAATTAAAAAAAAGGCAAGAATATTTTTAAAAAGAAACTCTAATTAGCCTAAAACATAATCTGATAAGATTTTTCACAACTGATGATGAAACATATGCACAGGAAGAAGACTTTGTTGTTCAAATTTACTATGGTTCTTCACTGTATTTGTTCCTCATCATTATGTGCTTTGCAGAAAATATTTTACCCTCTTATATGTTACTAAACCAGCAATGTCAGTAGTGAACTTCATTCACTTTGGGTTTAACTTTTATCAGTTTTGAGAATTTTTGTCAAAAATAGAGGTTGAATATCTGGACTTTCTATCACACAGAAGTTCAAAAACCTGGCAAAATTTGTGATTTTTTTAAGTTCAATACTAAGACTGAAATTTTTCTGAATGAAAAGAGCTACCATTAACCACTTATCAGACTAAATGGCTTTGGAAATCAGTTTTTGCTGCAAACTTGATAACACTGAAATGGATTAAGAAGCATTAATTGAGATTGTCTAAATAATGTTAGGTTGTACTTACTGTCAAGAGTTAAAACAAAGGCTGGGGTTGTGGCTCAGCAGTGGAGCACTTGCCTAGCACATTCAAGGCACTGGGTTCAATCCTCAGCACCACATTAAAAAAAAATAAATAAAAAGGTATTTTAAAAAGTTAAAACAACAAATGAAATCTATGTCCCTACAAATTTCAAGTAGATATATTTACTGGGTATGATGGCACAAGGTGGGATGATCATTAGAGCCCAACTTGAGCAATACCTTGAGACCCAGTCTCAAAAACAAACAACAAGAACTATCCCAGTTTTAGCACTTACAGTCTCAAATCCTGGTGATCCTGCTTAATCCTAGAAAACTGGAACTACCAGTTTCCTTAATCCTGGTGGTGTTTTTTGGAGCTGGCTACAAAAGCAGAAGAACATTTTATATTTCAAAATCCATCAACAGTACAATTGAGAAGCTCCCACCTAACCTTTCATTGGAAGTGAATAACCTACAACATAGTCACATGATTCTGCTTTGTGTGTAGGGAATAAATATGGGAGCATTCCACCACTCAGCTACATTTCCAGACCTTTTTATTTTTTTGAGCCAGGATCTTGCTAAGTTGCTGAGGCTAGCCTTGAACTTGATATCCTCCTGCCTCAACTTCCCAAGTCACTGGAATTACAGGCATGCACCACTCTGCCTGGCTTGTAATGACATGCTAAAAGGTAAATATTAAGAGAAGAACCTAATAGAATTCTATAAAATAGATGCTGTTGATGGATTGTTATCAATAATAACTGGTAATACTTATTTTTTTGAAAAGGCATTTTCAAAAATAAAATACCAGAGGTCAACATTAACATGAACTTTTGCAGTTGAGTTTGTTGAGAAAAACCATTAACTCTGAATCCCCATTAAATGCAATGATATACCCCCTATTCTCATTAGATATATTTCTAAAAATTTAATTATTACTACTATAGTTTAAAGTATTTACACAGTGTCTTCAATTTTGTTTTTTAGCTCACAAAGCCTAAATATTTACTCCCTGGTTCTTCATATAATGTGAATCCCCTCATCTAGACTAAGACAATATAGTTCAGAGATAGAAACTGTCATAGTTGACAAGAAACTAAATAAAGCATTAATACTGGCTTTTGTTAGAAAAGTAAACAATTGGTATATTTTTAAAAGTCTGAAGTAAGCACTTCATTACACCAATCTCTTTAGATGTCCATCGAGAAACTACATTATGAATCTTAAGACTCCTGCTATAWAAGTTTTTTTTCCTTTCTATGAAAACTTTGTCATGGATTCAGGAAAGCGTGACGATGTCTAACATAGTGAAACATAGTGTCTTTTTTTTTAAGTTTTTAAAAATTAAGTTGTTTAGCTCAAAAATGTCAAGTTTATGGGGTAATGATTATTATTTTAAAAAAACACACCAAATACTGAGTTCTTTTTATGGTCTATGGAAAACTTTTTAAAAACATGCTTAACTGTTGTGAACTGAGCTGCTAAACATTGGTGGAAGCTAACACAACAGGGAGACAGAAGAATAAAAGTTCAGTGGATTAGACAAAGGGGAATGGAGGGAAGGGAGTAGAGATAGGAATAAGACAATAGAATTAATCTGACACAACGTTCCTATGTACACGCATGAATATACCACAATGAATCTTCACATCTCATACAACCACAAGTCTGGGATCCTAATTAGAATAAAATATACTTATAAACATGGAGTATATCAAAATATACTATACTGTCATGTATATCTAAAAATAACAAATTTTTAAAAATACATGTTTAAATTAAAGCTGGGTAGTTTTGTGTAGCCATTAAAAGAATTCATTGACCACTGAGAGACAAATGTTGAACCAGTTTCTGAAAGAGTTCGCTAATTTTATACTCGTAGAGATCATCAACAAGAGAATAACCATCTTATTGCAGGATTTAAATGTTTGTCTAAAATCAAGAGCCAACCTATTTTTTTAAAAATCGCCTGTCCTATGAAAATATTACAATACAGATCTTTGAACTATATAAACAAAACATCCCAAACTACACAAAAATACCCCCATGAACAAGTAAGAGGGTTAATGACAGACAAGTAAGAAGTGTTTTGAGAGAAATGCAGTYATCATCAGGGCATTACTTGGTGCTGGCTCTATGAGGAGGAATAAGATGCTATCGATACATTTTAGTAAATGTCTAATCTATCTAGGAAGGTAAACTAAATGAATAAAGAGAATAATATAAGTTAGTACCAGGCACAATCGCACATACCTGTAATCCCAGCAAACCGTGAGGCTAAAGCAAGAGGATAACAAGTTTGAGGCCAGCTGGGCTACTTAAGGAGACCCTGTTTCAAAATAAAGCTGGAGTTGTGGCTCAGTGGTAGAGCACTCACCTAGCATGTGTGAAGCCCTGGGTTCAATCCTCAGCATCACATAGATAAGTAAATAAATGTATTATGTCCATCTACAACTAAAAAATATTTTTTAAAAATGATAAGGACTGGGGAAGTAACTCAGTGGTAAAGCACATCTGGATCAATCCCTAGTACCAAAAAAAAAAAAAAAAGATTGTGTATCTTTGTGTGTGTAGAGAGGGAGAGATAAACAAAGGTATGTTATCACCTAGTGCCCAATGAATGGCATCTGTATAAACCAAGTGCTTTAAGAGAAACATAACAGATTTATAAATACCATCAATTATACCCAGTTCGTTGTTTCAAGGATGAGAATATGTAATATAATTCCTACCTAATATCTATCAATAATGAGAAATTACATTGTGGCAATAATGATAGTACTTTTCTCTCTGCATGTAAATGTAAGCGATAAACTAAGTTAGCAGGTATAGTGCTGGTATTAGAACAGATACCTCAGTAATCAATTATGGCTTCCTTTCCCATTGAGTTCAATATATAAAATAAAATAGGAGGGAGTGCCTTCTCAACACAGTTCCCTACTGTGTCCCCAGGTAACCACCACTACTCAACTAGAACTGACAGATTAAACTCCTGGTCATGCTAGTAAGACATCATTTTAACAACAGAAAGGACAAGATATAGTCTCCTTATTTTACTTCAGTGCATATTATCCATAACTTATATAGAAGAATAATTTAGCACTTTCATACTATTTTAAGGTTTAGTTTTCAGCATTTTAATTTATTTAAGTTGTATTTTCAGTGTTTTTCTTTTCATGAAGAAATTGAAAAGTTTTGTTAATTTTTAGAAAGTCCTTTATTTGATTTTAAGGTCATTACTATTGTGATCTTTTATTTTAGGAGAACTGAAAGAAGATTACAGAGGACAGGTAATTTCTCTTACTATTTATAATCAGACATTTAAATTCGAAGAGAAAAACATGATATGATTATTTTAAACTTAGGATATGCTGCCTTTGTCTACATTAACTGGATTACATTTCTGTACTGTTTCTTAAGAGTTAGCTTTGCATTATTTCAAAATTACAATTATTAAAATTGTTATTTTTAAGTAAAATTATGCATAATGAAATATATATAAATGAAGCTTGAATTTGACTCAAATAATTCAGTAGCAAGAAATTAGGAAGGATATAGAAGAAGAGTCACCAGAGGCTGAAAAATGATGAAGCTGGATGGTAATAGAGCAGTTCATGTATATCATTCTCTTATTGGTATATGACTGAAATTATTCAAAGTACAAAATTTTTAAAACCCTTATAAAAATTATCTGATTCATTTTATTACATATATAATTTTTATCAGTAACATGTAGAAATACCGACTCTAACAACTGGTCCTGAACCCATTTCCACATTCTGTTTTTGTTAATTCTGAAAAGAGGTATCAAAGTCCTGTTTTATACCATTTTCAAAAAAGGCTTGGTATGAGAAATCCTTATAATTTTATAAGTACCCCAAAATGGATTATTATAGTATCTGATTCATTCTGAGACTTAGATTTGAATGATTATTCCACAATTATTAACATTATAACTTTGGACTATTCATTCCATCACTCTAAGCCTCAACTTCTTTATCTGTAAAATAGAAATAATTCCATATACCCCAAAGGATTTGTGTGAAGCTCTATTATGAACATGAACGTGGTAGGATTTTATTAATTATATGTAACTATACTAATGATAGTAATTATCAACAACATCATTACTTCAGTCTACCCTATGGACATACCTATATTGAAAAAACGTAAATCTTGATTTATTTAGAAGAAAATACCCCATATTATAGTTAAATACACATATATAACAATTTGCATTTAACTTATTAAAGCTTAAAGATACTTTACTATAAATTTCATGCATTTTAAATCATTCACTTTTTTAGAACAATTGTTAAAGGAAAAACAGTATTCTATCAAAATTTTATAGTCACATCCACTTGGATACACAAATGTGCATGAGATACAAGAAAGAAAACTAACTTCAAGAATTTTTCTAGAAGGGCTGATATACAGAACAAGAGAAACATCCGTTTATGTATTACTGTACAGAATGRTTGTTGTAACCTAACTGGTCACAGGACTGAATTCAGAGGGGAATATAGCTTAAACATGTTACTGCTAATTTACACACACTTTATGTTCATCCTCTGGTTTCTTGTGTAGAAATTGTTATCAAGTACAAATAAGATACAGATTATAACAACCTATCATTATCATTTGTAAAGGTCTTATTCAAAATTTTCATACAGTATATTTCAGGGATTGTCCTTATGTATTTTTGCAAAATTTTCTTTTCATATTATAAGTGTATTAGTCCATTTTCTGTTGCTGTAATAAAATGTGTGAGTATGTATTTTATGAAGAAAAGAGGTTTATTTAGGCTTCAGTTTGGGATGCTGAAAGTCCAAGATCTGGTTGTCCCATCAGTTCAACCTCTGCAAGGACCTCATAGCAGATGGCATTAGAATGGAAGGAGTATGCATACATAAGAGATTACATGGCAAGACTAGAAGCCACAAAGAGATTCAGGGACCAAGTTTGCCCTTTTATAACTTACTCTGGCAAGAATTCATTCCATAATATCAGAATTAATTCCTTCTGGYAGTACCCCCAGGAACCCAGTCATCATACATTAAGCCCTTACCTCCTTTTTTATTTTTTTTAATTTTGGGGTACTGGTGATTGAATCCAGAGGTGCTCAAGCCACATCCCTAGTTCTTTTTATTTTTTGAGACAAGGTTTTGCCAAGTTGCTGAGGCTKTCCTCAAAGTTGTGATCCTTCTGCCTGAGCCTCCCAAAATGTTGGGATTACAGGCACGACCCACTGCATCTGACCTAATAAATTCCGTCTCTTGAAAGTCCTGCCACCTCTTAAGGCTGCCATATTGGAATTAAGCCTCCAACAAGTGAGCCTTTGGGGGCAAACCACATACAAACTATGGTAATAACTATTTTTCAACCTATTTATCACCTCTTTGTCAACTTGAACTAATTGGATATATTTGATAGCAACAACAAAAAGCAACAGTTTATTATTTGACATAAAGGTATGTATTATGTACTTATTAAATAACTGGTACTTGTCTCAATATCTTAAATGTTTTAATTCAGCAAATCCCTAGAAGGATACTGCTATTAGCCCCATACAAACAATGAAATTTAGACATGAAAATTAAATAATTTAACCATAGTCACACAGCTTGAAAGGAAGAAGCTGGAATTCAGATTTAAATAATCTGGCTCTAGACCAAGGCTTCTCATCCTTAGCACTTGTGACATTTGGGGCCAAATAATCCTTTTGTTGTTGGGGTCATCCTCTGTATTGTAGAATATTTAGCAGCAATCCCTACTGGATGCTAGGAGTTTTCCCAACCAAATTATGATGACCAAATAACTCTAGCCATTGCCAAATGTTTCCTTGGGCACGGGATGGCACAATCACCCTGGTTAAGTCTTGTCTAGAACAACCCCTACTCATGTTATGTAGAAACCCCTTATATAAATTACCTCTTGAAGTCACACAATGGAAATATTGAAAGCTAGACTATAACATAAAACTCACCTATAGCCTTCCCCTTTATTTTGCTTGTACTACTCATTTTCATACTGTTTAAAAGGAACCTTAGACTTGGAAATGGCAGAAACTCATTCTTTTAATGGGAAATTATGGCAGACATAGCAATCTACTATTTCTATTGCTCTTGATATTCTTACTCTTAGCAGGAGAGTTAGGCCCAGCCCAAGGGGAATGGTGCAGATAAGATAGGAGGTATGTGAAYGCACATACACCCAACCCCCAATATTTACATACTGACAACTATATTAATAAAGATCTCCTGAAGCTGAAGTGTGTAACTTCTAAAGTGATTGACAAAGTAGTGATTTTTCACTAACATTCTTCTATCATAAATTAATTAAATTACTTATAGGACAGTAGCTTCAAGCATTGGTTGAAAAATAGTAAAATGATACATTATTTTTATGCTTATTCTTTGCTCCAAAGGATTATTTTTTAATATGTTAAAATATGTCTACCAAACAAGCTATATCCCCCAGTGTATGTTGAGTGCTTGCCTTGCATGCACAAGGCCCTAGGTTCTAATCCCTAGCACCACAAAAAAWAAWAATAATAATAATAATAATCAACATACTCCCTTAAATGGGTGACTTGGATGAACCGCTAGGTAAAAAAAATTTTAACACAGCCATAATATAATGATCATTCTTCATAAATACTGAATTTATCCTAGTATTTATGTCCTATCTCCTCCCCAACAATGTTGGGGCAATTCATAATTGTGTTATATATAATATCAAAAATAAATTACAAGATGCAGAATAAGAGATAGCTCTAGTAAGATATTAGATACAAATTAAAACTGAGTTTAGGGGCTGGGGTTGTGGCTCAGCGGTAGAGCGCTCACCTAGCATGTGCGGGGCCCTGGGTTCAATTCTCAGCACCACATAATAAAGGTGTTGGGTCCAACTACAAATAAAAAATAAATTCAAAAAACTGAATTTAACTCTGAATTTGAGGAGGGAAAGCAAAAAAGGGAAATAGGTTTACTTTGGAAGGCATCATGATATAACAGAATGGAGGATTTATATGCAAACTCTCTCAGTTTCAGTTTTGTTTGCTATTTCCTCACTGCCATGCACCTCCATGCCTGTTTGTAATCTGAGTATAATTTTTAAAAATAATACTACATGCTTGTTATGTCAAATTAGGTAATGGCAAAGCATTTTATAAACTCCAAAACATGATTTGCTATAATTGTTCTTTTTGACTTAATTTTTTAAAGTTATTCAAATAATAAATTTGAGGAAATGTTTTTCTAGGACACTCATACTCAAGACTGCTTACATCAGAAAACTGAAAAACTAAACAGGTTTTTGTATAGCTTCCAAAAAGACAATTCCTATTCACAAAGATGTTTCTTATGATACCTCATCTACATAAGCTTAAGGTATTATATTAAATCATAATCCACTGAAGGTATTTCTGTGGAAAGATGAAATGACATGTTCTAAATACATTTTTGATAGTTTACTTACCACAAAAGGAGTTAGGAAGTTAGTTAGCTTATCTGTTAACCTGTCTCTTGTAAGTACCTGAAATCTCAAACCAACCTAGCAAATGCTAGACAGTAGTCAGTGTGAGACTGCATTTCCTAGAAACAACATTAAGTACCAAAACTCTACGATGTTAACTAAAAAGAAATMTCATTATAATATCAAATATGCATGATGCAGAGTTAATGTTTAATAGTGAAACTTGAATTCCTGGTCAATTTACTCAGGAAAGCATCTATTGTCATAYGATGGGCTACTGGCAGGAATATAAGCCAGAGCCTTAAATGACAAAACCAGGGAATGAGAGGACCTAATTGTAAGGTCAGGCAGCRGTGACCAAAAGGAGGCAGATTAAAAAGGCTGCTGAACAAGGCTTGTTGAGATTTCACTCCCAGGCCAGACCCTCCAGACCAACAGGGCGGATCTGGGAGAAGAGCAGTGGCTCCACCAGACTGGAATTTTTATTGGGCTTAGGACAGGAATGGAGGGCTTGGGGCAGGAAAAAGGGGTTTTCAGAGTCCCTTGTCCTACTGGGGTTAGTTGGCTAAGATCCAGGATTGTCCAGAAGACCCCACTGATTGACAGGCGGTTCCGTTGGCGCCTGATTGGTGGTTCTTTCCTGCTCCGGTTGCTTAGTGCTTTGTTCCTCAGCCACCTCCACCGACCTAACACTAATCATAAAGCAGCCTACAAAACCATGTTATTTGTTAGTATGCTGAAAAGAAAAAAACTGCAGTGGAAAAAGCATTCCAGAGAAATAAGAAATAAATTCTAATTCCAGCTTTGTCACTAAATAAGTGAATTGACAAAGCACTTCACCTACGTGAGCATCCGTTTGCTCATCTATAAGATGAAAGGATTTCAGATTAGGAGTTTTCAAGTTTCTTCTATCTCTAAAATTCACCGTCTGGAATTTAATTATTGTTATATCAGAAACTTTAGGAGAAGCCATTAGTAGGAAACCTAATACAAAACAAAGGCATGATCACTTATATCAAAGAAGAAAAATCTGTATTAAGTGAGCAACAGGTCAAAATCCAGTTTTTAGCAAAGCAAACCTTAACATGTCTTAAGTTTGCTTATGAAAGTCTATATACGTTTAAAAGAAAGTGACCTGGTATCACCCAACATTAGGTAACAGCAGTAAGGTGTGGCTCAGAAAATGCACTTAACTATATGTAGAAGTCAAATGAGGAACTGGGGAAAACCCTTTTGTTGTGTAAATTACTACAGGAATTAACATGTACCTTCCTTCAGTCAAGGGTGAGCATAATTTCAACACATAATAAAATGAAGATCAACCTCGTTTGGAACTACAACTTCCTGTTACCAAATAAAATCATCTTTTCCCAAACAATGAAAGAAAGAAAGTGAAACTACCAATTCTACACTGTTTTTCAAGGGATAAAATTTCATAAYTGTATTTCTATAGTTCTGTAAGAAGGAAATAATCCTAAATCCAGAAAATAACTAATGTCTAAGAATATCCATCATAAGGTTTTTTATTTAAAAAAGCAATTGCACATTAATAATTTCATTTTTGGTGGAATTTATGTAAGTTGAAATATTTGATGGAATAAAATTAGAAACAAAGACTGTGGGAGCACTGAAAAGTGTTCAAAGAGAAGCCAAAAGTAAGAAAATAAAAAATGTGGAATTATATATATAAAATTTTACCTGGGCTTAAAATAAGTAAATAAATTATGGAAAAAAGATAACTGGAAGGAAATAATGTTCACCATATTTTATGTGCTTGGTGAGACTGGGTAAATTTTTGTACTTTTCTGTTTTACAAATTTTATTTAAATGAGTATGCTTTAATGATTATGAAACAACTGAATGTAAAACTTTATTTCATTAATCTTCAAAATATCCCTCTAAGGTAAATAGAGTACAAGTCAAGGTTATTTAGCATTGTGTAACTTATCATGGAAACCTTAGAAATGCCGAGTCTTTGCAATGGATTTTAAAGGAAATTCTTCAAAGGAAACCTTTATGGCTTTTTAAAAAAAATTCCTGAGATCACTAGGAAGAAAGAAGGGAAGAAAGGAGGAAAAAATAGCTAAACCACATGACACTTCATGTGAAACCTGGCCTTTCAGCTGCAAGTATTTATTTCCTATACTTGCAGTATAGGAAAATAAAATAATTTACCTAGAATCTCCGCCAGTTGATAAAAAAGACCAACTACAGGCTCCTCAATGACCATTCTAATGGTGTAGAAATTAGACTTTGGTAGGGCGGTTTGTAGGCCAGAGTTGGAGCTTGTCTTTAAAATGACAGTGCTTTTAATGTTTTGTTTTGTTTTTAAATTGAAAGCTACCTAAAACCGCTGAACTTGCCAGCACACACACACAAGCCTGGGGCAGTATTAAATTACTCATTCTTCTTGTTACCTGTTTTTCCAGGTTTTTTTTTTTTTTTTTTTTTTTTGGTGTGTGTGTACCTTAGCAGCTAGAGAGCTGGCACATGCACCCTCCACACACACACACACCCCTCCCTTACCTTCCACTCCATACCCATTTTCCTTGAGCTGTGACTATGTAAAACAGTATGAATGCATACTTTATGAAAGGCTTCTTAGTAAAAAGAACTTTAATACTTAAGGGATTTTTTTTTTTTTAACGGTGCTTGGGATGTAACCTATGTATGTTAGGCATGCACTCTAATACTGGGCTACACCCAAGCCTTATATTATTTTAAATATCCCAACACAATAACAAAAAAAATATTTTTAGATAAGTTATTTTCACTGATAACTTTTGGGAAAAAATCTCATATTAGCACATGGTAATAAATTAGACAAGCAGTCAGTATAGGTAGGAAAATTGAGTCAGGTCAAATCAAGGAGGCCAATTTGAGTGAGTCTGGGAAGTTGGAGAGGGGTTGAAATGCTAATACCTTCAGAGCCCTTCCTTCACCCTTATCAAGATAACCTGCCCCAGCTCCAACCTATTGCTAAGGCAACTGTCCCAGGATTGTCCCTCCCTATAGGAGTTATTAATTATGCCCCTTTCCTGCCCAGATCACGCCACCTTGGCCCCTCCAGGAAGCCCCTCCACCCATCTGCTTCACACCTTTTAGCCCTCCAACCAAGCATCTTCTGGGCCTAGTCACCTATGCAGGAAGGAGAGAGATAAAGGAGGAGAAGAACAAAGGAAATCTATGACACATAGAAAAGAAAGAACAACCTCACTTCTTGGGATACCAAAATACCAGTTATAACCCCCTTCTCCCTCACAGGAGAAATCTGTGTTATCCTTTTTTAAATAAACCCTGATTTATATGCTTGTGTGTTCAATATGTGAAGAAGCAGAAGTCATCACTGGTAACCGGCTGTATCATTAGTATGAGTGCCAGCTGTTATCCCTACTCTCTTCACCTTTCACCTTATCATTTCAACTGCAAGTAGGCTACCTTCAAATTTTCAAAAACTGCTCCTAATGTGTGATTTTTCAAATGGAATCACTCTGGTTTATTTATTTATTGGTAGCTATAGATGGACAGAATGCCTTTATTTTGTTTATTTTTATGTGGTGCTGAGGATCTAACCCAGAGCCCCACACATGGTAGGCAAGCGCTCTTCCACTGAGCTACAGCCCCAGTGCCTGGAATTACTCTTCTTTAGTCTTGCCTTCAAACATACTCTAGTTTCAGAATCCCATCATAAAATCTTGCTTTTCTGTACCCAATGTTGTTGATATCGATATAGGAGAGGTATGAATCATGGAAAGAATAACAAATGGGAAATGAATGAAGTTCTTGTTAATATTTCTTTTTACTTTTATAACATGTTGTAAAAAGCTTATGAAATTATATAATCTTTTCTATTTGATTCCTTACATCAGGAGTCACTGGTCAAATATTCAGTTAAAAAAAATCAGATTTAAGAAATGCATTGTATTGTATTTAGAACTTTTAGAACACACAGTATTTTAAAATCAAATAGGCAGAATCACAATAAACTGCAGTTTACAATTTTTTGTTGTAGGAGTCTTCAAATGCTTCCAAATTTCAATTATCATCTTGACCTTCCTTCTTTGCCTTTTTATACTTCATATATTTCTTGATTAATTTCATGAAAACTATAATGAGTTTTAATAATTGAGTAAGATGAATATAAAGATCTTGTGTCTACATATGTAAAATACATTTTAAAGAATTTTATTTCACTGTTTTTAAATACTTAAAAATAGTAAAGATTTAAATGTTAAGTCAACATTTTTGCTCTGCTTAAACATGATTTTATTTTAATTATGTTTATCTATTTATTTGCAGGACATTGGAGATGGTGGTTCTCTCAGAATGGTTCACTTTGGTTTGGTGTAAAAAATGAACTTTTTTTTTTTAACTTCAAAAAGAAATCAGCCTTTTTCATGACCTGATTCAACTTTTAAAAAGGAAAGATGGTATATGTAACATAGCGTAATAGTAGCAAAGTGATCCTAAATAAAAGTCCTTAACATACTTTTTAGTAATATACAAATTTTGAAAATGTTTTAAGCTGTACATTATTAGGTACTTCAAAAACAATATTTAAACCTTGTTCTCTAGTATTTTAAAAATTTTGTCAGCTGGTCTTACTTATATCACTAATTTACATTATATGTAAAATATTTATTAAGCAAAAATGTTAGCTCAAACCCATTAGTAGTAGACATTTCCCCTGTATCTTTTGAATCTTACTGCTATGAGGCACTGACTGCCCCATGAAACTCAGAGAGATTATATTTCTCTGGAGCAAAGAGTAGGCATGTTTACTATCTATTATAAAAGATTTGAGCTCCTTAAGTTCTGAGTTCTTTCTTTTTAAATAGCCCAGAGTGTGCTGGTGGCATCTGGCCCTTTTCACATTGCTGTATGGTAATAGAACTCAGGAAATCAATGCAAAAATAAATACATTTAAAATGCTGGGCTGGGGCTGTAGCTCAGTGATAGAGCCTGGGTTTGATCCTTAGCACCACATATAAAATTAAGGTATCGTGTCCAACTACAACTAAAAAATAAGCACTAAAAAAAATATTGATACTCTGGGTACTATTGTTATGATTAATAAACTGTCCTTTGTTTCTAATGCCAGGAGTCTTATGTCTTTTACCAGCAGACATGAAACAGTTCCCTAATTTATTAACTTGTAAGTAGGGTAAAATTTTGGACCCTTCACAGTTCTTGATACCTGTTCATTAGCATATAAGTTTTCAAATTGTAGATATCTGTAATAATCAACATCTTGAAATATTGTGCATGAATTATAAAATTAAATCTTCTTAAAAGCTACACTGAGTTTTTTATACTTCCAATTTTTCTTCCTACTTTCTATGCATCTATACCTTACTGGGGAATATGACAAAGGGAGTAAAAGATTTTTCAATTCACAACTCTCCTTAAAAAATTTTAGGTAATTTTTTGGTTTTGTCTGGGTTTTTCTTTGTTTTGTTTTGGGGTTTTTTGTTTTGTTTTGTTGGTAATTTGTAATGTGTGTGCCACATTTTAAATAGAGATAAAATGTCCAGGAATGGTGATATGCACCATGCTGTTGGGGAGGCTGAGGAAGCACATTCACTTGAGCCCAGGAGTTCATGACCAGCCTAGTCAACTTAGTGAGATCCCATATCAAAACAACATAAACAAAAAAGATTCAATTATCAGCAAATTTTAATTTTCCACCCTCCTTTATCACACAGATAAATAAAAGTCAATTTTTAAAGAATATATTATATTGAAAAAAATATAATTTTGCCAAAGAATACATTTTCTCCAGACTTTCTACTAAAATCATTAACCTAAAACAAACTGCATTTCCTGATCTACATATCCTTTTGCTCATTTGACCACTGTCTTTTACAACTATATGGGAATTGTGGTAGAAAAGTTCAGTACCATTTCTAGGTTCTATGCGAGGAGGCCATAGCCTGTGCTAATCATATAGATGTATTCATAACTATATTTTCTTTAATATATTGTTCTATGATAGTATGAAGTAACCATGTTTGCCAGTTATTAAGTGAAAACTAAAAAAAACTTTTCCTTAAATTCTCCATTTTTCCACCTTCACATGAAACTAGAAAAATGGACTCAAGTTATTAAAAAAAAAAAAACAAGTTTAGATAGTTAACAAGAATATATTATGAATGAGATCTTTCATAATGTCTCTTATGAATAATAAATAAATATATGATTTTTCAACAAAAGTACCAAGACCATTGAGTGGGGAAAGGATAGTCTTTTCAATGAACAGGGGGGAAAAAATGAACATGCAAAAGAATGAACCTGGACCCTTCATAGTGTCATATACAAAAACTAACTCAAAATGGATCCAAGACCCAAACATAAGATACAAAACTGTAAAGCTTTAGAAGAAAACACAACTTCATTACATTGCACTTAAAAATTATTTCTTGGGTATGACATAAAGCATTCAACAAAGTAAAAAAAGGTGAATTGGATTCACTGAAATTAGTAATATCTGTGCATTACAGGACACCAACAGAGTAAAAAGGAAGAAAATATGTTTAAATCATACCTGATAAGGACTTACATCTAGAAAATATAAAGAATTCCTACGGCTCCACTTAGGTTGAAAAATACTTACAAACGAAAAAACAAGTAACCAACTTGAGCAAAGACTCTGAATAAACATTTCTCCAAAGAAGATATACAAATGGCCAAGAAGACAGGAAATGATGCTCAACATCACTAATCTTTAGGAAAAGGAAAACCAAAACTACAACATACCACTTCATACACATTGGGATGACTATTACATTAAAAAAAAAAAAAGACCTAGCATATATGAGGCCCTGGGTTCACAAATAAAAAAAAAAAAAAAAAGAAACGAGAATATAGCAAGTATTAGCAAGATAAATTGAAAAACTTGTACATTGGTGTTGGGAATATAAAATGGTATAGCCACTATGGAAAATAGTACAGTGATTCCTAAAAAAAATATTAAAAATAGAACCAGGGACAGTGGTGCATACCTGTAACCACAGTGATTCAGGAGGCTGAGGTAGGAGGATTGCAAGTTTGAAGCCAGTCTTGCCAACTGTCTCAAAATAAAAAAGGGCTAGGGATGAAGCTCAGTGGTATAGTGTTCCTTTGTTCAATTCCCATTACCCCTCCCCCCMAAAAAAATTCAAAACAGAATTACCATGTGATCTCGAAACTCAAGCAGGTATCTATGTACCCATGTTAATAGCAGTACTGTTATTCACAATAGCAAAACACAGAAACAACCTAAACATCAATCAACAGATAAATGGATAAACAAAATATAGTGTATATATCCACACAAATTACAATACTCAGCCTTAAGATAATATCTGACACATGCTACATCACCAATATACTTTGAATACATTGTGCTAAGTGAAATAAGCCAGTTGTGAGAAGACAAACATTGTATAATTCCACTAATATGAGGTATCTATAAAGTAGTCAAATTCACAGAAACAGGAAGTAGAACTGTGATTGCCAGGGGCTGAGGAGAGAAAGAAACCAGGAGTTGTTTAATGGGTATACTGTTTTGGTTTTGCAAGATAAAAGTTCTAGAGATTGTTTTCACAACAATGTGACTGCATTTAACCTACTTTAAAAATGGTTTAAGTTGGTGAGTTTTTGTTATGTGCATTTACCATGATTTTTTAAAAGATGTAATATATATTTTTAAATTATTATGCGAAATTGAAGGTCTTAAAGAAATCTTCATGCTATCTTCCTAAAATGACTCCAAGAGAAAAGAGCTTTCAGATTAGCAAGGTTTTGCTAAGACTATGACTATATTTTAATAATCTAGAACCATACCCTCGTTAAATAAATATCAGTTGGTATTTTTAAAAAGTCGTGGCAGAAAACCCAAAAGAATTGACAAGAAAACTCCTGGAACCCGGGCTGGGGTTGTGGCTCAGCGGCAAAGCACTCGCCCAGCATGTGTGCGGTGCTGGGTTCAATCCTCAGCATCACATAAAAATAAATAAAATAAAGGTATTGTGTCCATCTTCAAATAAAAATATTTTTTAAAAACCCCACTATCGGGCTGGATTTGTAGCTCAGTGGTAGAACTCTTGCCTAGCACATATGAGGCACTAGGTTCAATCCTCAGCACCACATTAAAAATAAACAAACAAAATAAAGGTATTGTGTTCATACACTGCCGCAGTCTGGCTGGGCACAATTCAGGAGCCACTTGTCAAAAGAAACTAACTTTATTTTTAGAACTACAAACGCCAAACAAAACAGCTCC